ACCCTGCTTGTCTTGCTCCTGCTCGTCGACCTCGCCCTCCCGCCCATGGTAGTTTGCGCACCTTGCCGCATCCATCGGCATTGCGTGGTGGGTGAAAAAGGTGGAGAGTGTGAGAGAGTGGTGGGGTGGGGGTGGTGGGTCCCTTTGTTTGGATGAGAGATGGGCTACCATTTGCATGTAGCGTACACAGCCGGATAACCAGGACGCATAAAATATCCAGTGCATGTCCGCTTCGGACCCAAACCATGAGCAAATTTGGTCTGAAAATGGGTCCAATCGAACACAAAGCGGACAAAAAAATGGGATATGTGTGTGCGTTTAGACCATTATTTTGTCCATTTAGACTCAATGGACATGACGGGACCAAATGAGGTCGCCCATTGGAGTTGGCCTTAGTGCTTTGGAATGATGTATGCCCTAAGACTACCCACAATGGGAGTAAAGGCCGGCGGCTGGGTAGGATGTGATTATTGTCGACTTCGGGATGGTGGAGGTTGAGGACCACTGCGTGCAGGATGAATAATTAGATGAATCATTTCAATTAAACCTCGAGAAAGGCAAATTTACCCATAATTAGGAATTACTAATACTGTTGTATCAGTTTCATACTACACATTATATTGTGTATTACATTGTGTTTAAAAGATGCACTAACGTGAATTTGTGAGTGTGAAAAAATTCGTGTAAACCGAATGATTTTTATATAAATCGGACAAAGACGTTTACATTTTAAACATATTTCAATTAAACTATAACGGACTAGGCAAGGTTATTCTAACCTAGTCTATCGCTGGCCGCGGTGGAGCCCCATTCCCACAACATGTTTTTCCTATGTCCGGCAGCAAGTTCACCAGACCGTCGTCAGCGCCGAAGGGATATGCTTGAGCGAAAGGCGAATAGTAGCCACCGCTTCCGTGAAGCACGAATCGGGGTTGGTTTTTGGAGTGGGGGTAGACGGTCACCATGGCCTACGCCAATGTGAAGCGGGCAAGACACCCACTTTTACCGTCGGCCTTCATAGTATCCAAGTGGCGGCGGCCTCCCATGGTCAACTTTTCCTCGGTATTGGCGGTGGCGGCGGGTGCCGCAGGCGCATAGTTGCCGATGTCATCGTCGGTGGCTCAGTGAAATTCCTCCTCCGCCGCCGCGTCGACCTCTGCAAACATGGCTTCTGTCTCCGCCAGTCGGACGTGTTGCGGCCATCGCTCGTGGCGGATTTACCGGGAGACAGCGTGGGTCAGTCTGGACGGGCGAGAACGGTCTGACTATGGCTTGGGCCGACTCCGGAGAGCTTGTCGGCAGGCGAGCCTGTATCCAGCTGGCTCGTCGAGCCACCCAGTCGGCTGCAATGCTGACGATCTCCTTCTGCTCGGACGAGAGCCTGTCCCATATGGCTTTGGAGGTGGAGAAGCCATTACGGTTGTGGTGCAAGGAGGAGATGAAGAGCGAATGTGTGGTGTGGTTCTTGCCCCATGCCTGGCTACAGTTTAATAGCAGACGGATGTGACGCGTCAACCAGAGAGGTGTTTATTGAAGGTCGGCATAAGGATGAACTTGTGGAGCTCGGTTCCTCGATACACGTGTTAGTTTAATGTAGATAGGCGGGCGTACGGATGCCATTTTAATGCGGAGAGAAGGCATGCGCAGCGGGCGACGCTCTCGACTGGCGCGTCGCTTCAATGCTGGCTTCAATGAGTGGTTGCGTCCACTGTGGGCCGGCATAAATGCGATGCTGATGCTTTGAGAAGTAAGGACATGAGCGAGGGAGAGGGGTTTTGGGTGAGCCAGAGTTGTCGGACGCTTGAGGGGCAGGGGTCCGGACTCCCGCAAAATTCCCCCAAATTTGCTTCCGGTTTGCGGGAAATATTATGCCCCGACCGGCCAGCAGATGGATACAGCCTAGTGTTGGATGGCAGAACATGTTCACTCCGCCGAACGGATGCGAATGGTTTGAAGGTCCGCATTGAAGATGCCCTTACATAGTTTATTCTTTCGAATTGTGAGGAATTCCAAGTCACACGTAACAACGCCAATACAAATTTAACCGAAAAAATCTGCATTCAGGAGAGAGCTGGATAGTAAGCACTAACCCGGCAGCCTGCACGAATGCTATGATGGTCACAGACCAAAAATCGTCCTTCTTCATCGACGAGACGAAGCCGCCGAGTAGGACCACGGTGGCCCATAAAAGCAGCAAGGCCCCGATGGATTTCAGGAAAAATCGGCCGTGCGCCAAAACGACGGCATACTTGTTGATGATCCTTACTTCTGGCCGCCGTCGAAGCTCCTCCGAGAAAGCGTCAAGCTCATCTCCCATGCTGCCGCTTGTCGTGCTGGTTTCGTCCGTGGAGTGCTAATGGTGGCGGAGCGGGGTATTTGTGGTTGCTCTTCAGTTTGCTAGTCAAGCAGTCTACTGGTTTCTCCTCGGTTTGCTAATGCTCATTTGGCTCGCCTGCCGGACATGGTAGTTTAAGAGGGCGCAGTGAGGGGGAAAAGGGTGTGCATGCGCATGCCATGGGAAATCGCGAGCTCACGTGCAGGCAACCACAAGGTTTTCCTAATAAAAAGAATCCGATTTAGATGTGTTAACCCGATGAGAAGCTAGCGCGATATTTCGTGTTGGACTGGGTGAAGTTCCCCGTTGGTCTTGCCCGGCCGATTGCATGGTACTACATCACCAAGCTACTGCGTGCACACCTATATGAGACTGTCACGCGCGTATGTACTACTAATACTTCTATTAGGAAAGAATGAATTCTACTTTCCTACCAACTAGCAATTGCTCGGAAGAATATCAGTATTGATTATTCTACTTTTAATTCACATACACATACATATATCACTGTGTTCATTGTTCTTTCTTTTTAATATCTAAAAAGGTTGATCGATCTGAGCCTAATCGTTTTTGGGGAAAAGCCATGGTCTATTTTAGTGCATCTCTAACCAATCCCCTATAATCAGTTAGAGGAGGATAACTTTCAATTTTCTCCTCTAACCATCATCGATCTAGCTAACCGATCACTTATAATGGCTATTCATCCATCGCGGCCTCCCCGACGAGTACTACGCCAAGTATGCCAACACCGTCCCGGCGCCGGGACAAGCAAGAGGGTGACCAAGCCGGGGTACCGTGTCATCAGATAGGCCGATGCCACACAGTTCACCGCTGGCGTGTTCATCAACGGCATGAGCTGACTCAAGAACACCAGCACGCCTAACGTCATCAAGGAAGAAGACACAAAGCATGATTGGTGTGTGTATTAATTGTACAGAAGTACAAAAACAGTTCAAGCAAAAGAAGTGGTCACCGTTGGCATCACCCCATTGTGTTCTTCACGCCAGGCAGCAGTGCCCTGCGAGGCCATACCCCGGCAACACCCCATCGTATTCGGTGCGCCCGACATGCTTTCCGGTGTCATCGGCGTGGACACCGTTGTCACCGCTTGCCACATAGGCATATAGCAAGCGTTCGATGTAGTGTATGAGCCAAATTTAAACTTAAGTTTTACTCCGTTAAGTTTCGGGATTTGGTTAGAGCGGCATTTTTTTTAGAGTAGCAACTGTACTCCACTAAAAGATACTCAGCCGTTTACTCCTTCAAATTATGAGATCGGATAGAGATAGTTGTTACTATATTATGAAGAGCAAAATGTTGTGATAAGTTAGGTCTATTTTTTTTTGGATATTTGGTTAAGTTAGATGAATCTATCTCTTCTCTACAATTTAAAAAGAATGCAAGGTTCCATTTTTTTCATTTTACTTCCATCGCCTCTTCCTCCAACCTCCCCTTTAATAATCAATCACCTTAATTTACTTGCTTCTGAACCAATTTCATTTTAACTTATTTACCAAACTTCTCATCAACATATAAGTAAAATCATGCATGAGCAGAATTTGATAAGAATTTATTTACATAATCAGATTCATATGGGCAGGTAAATCACAAGGTAACATACTATAATATTTATATCCTGTTGCAACACACGGGCATTGTCTTAATTGATTATAAAAGGATTCAATTAATAGTGGGATGTTTTGTTTCTGCCAAGAATTTGCAGTGATCTTTTTATTTATCTGTTATATAGCGTGTTGTTATTGTATAATAGAAATAGAAAGAATAAATAGACAGCAAAAGCACGAGTCACGCACTCTTGTCGAACTACTAGGTTTTCTCCTTGATTTTTATACTCAGGGCTGCTTTGGTGCAGATTCCTATTGCTAACACGCGTTTGCTTTAGGGTGTTTGTTTCGGCGAGGGCGCGGGGATGATTGCTGTGAGCTGCGGTTTTGGTGGCATGATGGTGGTGCATCTCACCGGGCGGTGCCGTTCACAAAGGGGGCGACGCGTCTGACAAACCATCGGTGAATCAAGCGAGTAGATCTTGATCCAAAAAGGCCAAGGGACATTGGCGAGACGCTCCGCAGACCGAATCTTAGGTGAAAAAATAGATGATGTTTTCTATTCCGAAGAGGAAGAAGATGGGCAAGAGGTTGAGCACTGATAGCCACTCGAAAAAGTTGGCATGCGAACCAATGCTCCGTGCAATAGCTTAATCAAGTGGGAACAGTGAGCTGGAAAGGGCATGCATGCATGTCATGGGAAACCGCGTGCTCATGTGCAAGAATCCAGTTTAGATATATGAAACCCGGTGAGAAGCTAGCAAGAAATTTCTTCGTGGACTGCTTGCAATTGCATTGACAGTTGGGTCACCCGTTCGTCTTGCCCGATATGTCTAGAGGCGTTCAAGCTGGTCACCGGAGTTGTGGTGTTCTTCTTCATATGTCTCCGATGAGCGACTGTGTGAACTGGGGTTTATCATAGACCCATTTTCTTCAACCTCCAAGACGTCAGTACTCCTGCAAATCCATGACGTCAGTACACTCATACAATGTATAGTGCTCACGACAAGCTAATAAGCACACCTGCCAAAAGCGAAAGAAACCGTGAGTAGCTTAAGCTGGACAAAGAGAAAGATGAGCCTGAAAAGGTACAAAATGACACGTGAAACCACGTGCAAGCAGAGGACTCCGACCACGACCTAGATCTGTGAGACCCGATAAAATACTGTTCAGATTATACCCGAGACAGGTTGCATTGGAGATGGCCGTGGCAATCCACTCAACTTAGCAGTCCCATGAACATGTATGTGCAACAACGCGCGTCCTCCTTATTCAGTGCATAACACTCTCTGCATTGACAGTATCAAGAAAACAACGTACAAATCCATGACTGCGGAAAACAGTCGATATGCGGATGATAAAGGCAGAAGAGAGAAGAGAGAAGTGAAGAGTGAACTGCTGTTGAAGTCATTTCTATAAGCACAACCTTGGCAGAAAAAAATCGCATCAAACTTTGAAAAATTGGAGAGAGATATCACCACATATTTCATTCCCTCCAACTTGCTAGATTTTTTCGCAGCTGTCAAACGCTTGTTTGCAAATCGGCGTGGGTTGCAGAATTCAATTTTAGGGTTTTAGCTGGGTGAGAGCGTGGGGCCAAGGCGCGCATGAGCGCTGGGCGAGAGGAGGGGTGAATTTCGTAGCACGGTTGCGCAGGAGGGCTAGGGTTATTACGAGGAGGTAACGTTGCATTTGACTGGATGAGCAATTTAACGGCCGCACCAAACATTCCTGCCCTAATGCACGATGCGACCAGAGACAAATCATTCAAATTAGTCTCCATGGATCCCTCCTAGGTATTACTGAAAAGCGTAACACACCCGACAAAAAATAGGGGAAAGAAGGAAGTCGGGCAGAGGGAAAGGTGGTTGTAAAATATCCCTGCTATTCTTTTTTACATAAACATGTAATTAGTCAAGACAACTTCTCCCATATTTTTAAACTTCCATTTATTTTAATCTAGGTAGAGACATGACATCATCACCCTCCAGAAAAAACCAACAAATATGGCATTAGAAACATATGTGCCACCTGTCAGAAATAATAGAAAGGAAAGCACATAGTTATAAAGATTAGTATTCGAGACTTTGTAGCGAGCTCTGGTTTCTCTTAATGACAATTTGGGTGAACCTTTCCATGCAAAAAAAATTAAACTATTATACAGATTTTGGCCCCCATCATATGCTAAGCAGGTGTGATAGTTCAGGCTTAATATATTTCAAGCAGTAGATGAGGTGCAAACAAACATTTTTTAAACAAATTGTGGTGGGCTATTTCAAGACATTGCGGTTCGAGTGCTTCAGAATGGCTGTGAGATGAGAACTACCAGAATGGATGAATATTCATGAGGGTTCAGTAGTTGACATGTGAATTGGCAACTAATTTAAATCCACGCAGTAGCACCAACTTCAAGCCCTGAAACTACTGAGTGAATGAAAATTACACAACGAAGCCACACACATGCACATAGCAACGGTAGAAATGAGGAATCATCTTTGATCTCAGAAATGCTTTCTTTGACTTCATTTATGATACAAGAAGAAAGCAGCCACAACTAAAGTAAAAACAAGCAACTACACAAACCATGAGCTTGAAAGATCCTGAGCAGAAGCTGCTGGTAGTGCAACACAACACGTACAGACAGCTGAAAACCTTCAGCACAATGTTGATGCTCTTAAGGTGAAGGATGATGCAATTGGTAGATTGCAAGCACAGGTTGTTGCTGCCGAAAAGAAGCCACAGAAAGCTCTAAAGCTTAAGGATAATGTAATTGGCAAATTGGCCGAAAATAACCTACTATCAAATGGTAAAGCTTAAGTGGACTGTAGATGGTCTTAAGCTGACAGAAATCCAGTTTAGTAAGTAAAACTTAATCCAAATTTACAGCTTGGATGAGTCATCTAGAAAAAACACTAAAACTACTTGCGAATCCAGTGCATCTCTATCAAGAATTCAAGATACAACTTAATAGATGTAAAGCTCAATAACATACACAGAATAACAGATGACACAGGCACACAACACAAACAGAACCAAGGGTAACTTGTTTTTTTTTCACAATTAAGGGTAACTCGTTGTGTAAGAAAACAGTCAATCAGATCCTCTTGACTACAGTACAACACAAACACATTCACTTCAATTTGTCACTCCTCATACTAGTTTAATTCACGCCACATGGGGCAAACCTTGGGCATGGTCATAATCACTCTGACTTCCTGCAACAAGTAAGCTTACTGAAGCAGACTGAAGCAGCAGACCAAGAAAAGAAATTTCTGCCTCTCAATGCAACACAAAACAGACTGAAGCAGCAACAAAACAGAGCAGATATATAACCATGCAATTTACTTCTTTGTAAATAAATACCAAGCATACATGTATTAGTTCTAATTTTACCTGGCTAGGATCAGAGGCAATTAG